ATTGCGTATTTGGTTCAGTCCTGTTCCCAGTTTTCCCGCTCCTTGTTAGTGTTCAGTTTATTCACCTGTGTTCTGATTTGCCCCAGCTGTGTCTTGTTCCCTCATCCCGTCTGTGTATTTAATCCTGTCTGCTCTTTTGTTCTTGGTCAGTTATTGAATGTATGTGATTGCCTGTATGTGTACGCTCCTCGAGTTTCTCTGAGATCTAAGTTACCCTAGTCTGTGATTATTAAAGTCTACTGCTGCATCTAGATCCGACTTCCGCCTTTGCTTCCACGCAAATCGTAACAGAATAACTGACCCACTAGGATCTAGCAGCCATGCCTACCTGGAGTCCTGATGTCCAGATCCTCCGTCTTCGCCAGGAGAATCGCGCCATCGAGGATTATGTCGCAGAATTCCTCGAGCTGGCATATCTCGCGCAAATGAACACCCACGGCCTGAAGATCTTCTTCCGCGGAGGATTATCGGAACCACTCCGGTCTCTGATGCCCGAACCTGGTCCTCACGGATCTTTATAATGGTACGTTGACCTGGCCCTGTTGTGGAGCGGTTCCCCGTTTACTGTGGGCGTGGAGGAGAAGCTGCGAGAGCCTGCGCTTAACGTCAGCCCGGTCGCGCCCGCGCTTCACTTCAGCTGCTCAGCCGAGACCACGCTCCACAAGCCTGCGCTTCACTTGAACCGAGTCGAGCCCGCTTTCCACGACATGCCTGAGCTTCTTCCTGCCGAGACCGACATGCCTGAGCTTCTTCCTGCCGAGATCGACATGCCTGAGGCTGAGCTTCTGTCTTCCGAACCCGCACGTCGCTTCAGCCTCGACGAACCCGAGTCAAGTGAGTCAAGTGCCGCCGAGTCAAGTGAGACCGCGCTTCCCGAGTCAAGCGAGTCAATTGCCGCCGAGTCAAGCGAGTCAAGTGCCGCCGAGTCAAGTGAGTCAAGCGCCGCCGAGTCAAGTGAGTCAAGCGCCGCCGGGTCAAGTGAATCAAGTTCCGAGTCAAGTGAATCAAGTTCCGAGTCAAGTGAATCAAGTTCCGAGTCAAGTGAATCAAGTTCCGAGTCAAGTGAATCAAGTTCCGAGTCAAGTGAATCAAGTTCCAAGTCAAGTGAATCAAGTTCCGAGTCAAGTGAATCAAGTTCCGAGTCAAGTGAATCAATTTCGGAGTCAAGTGAATCAAGTTCCGAGTCAAGTGAATCAAGTTCCGAGTCAAGTGAATCAAGTTCCGAGTCAAGTGAATCAAGTTCCGAGTCAAGTGAATCAAGTTCCGAGTCAAGTGAATCAAGTTCCGAGTCAAGTGAATCAAGTTCCGAGTCAAGTGAATCAAGTTCCGAGTCAAGTGAGTTTACCGAGTCTACTGAGTCAAGTGAGTTTACCGAGTCTACTGAGTCTACTGAGTCAAGTGAGTTTACCGAGTCTACTGAGTCAAGTGAGTCTACCGAGTCAAGTGAGTCTACCGAGTCAAGTGAGTCTACCGAGTCAAGTGAGTCTACCGAGTCAAGTGAGTCTACCGAGTCAAGTACGTCCAGTAGTGAATCAAGCCCAGTGAAGCGTCGTCGCAGAAGGAGGAGGAGGACTCGTTTGCTTCGCCAGGCTACGGAGGGCGTTCCCAGACTCCTCGCCCTGCCGGCCCCACCTCTGCGCCTCGCCCTGCCGGCCCCGCCTCTGCGCCTCGCCCTGCCGGCCCCGCCTCTGCGCCTCGCCCTGCCGGTCCCGCCTCTGCGCCTCGCCCTGCCGGCCCCGCCTCTGCGCCTCGTCCTGCCTGCGCCCTTCAAGCTCCGGGAGGCCTGCCCGGAACCCATTTACCACCTGGAGGTTCCTCCCGAGGATTTCCCCAAGTATTTTTTGGGGGGGGGTGTGGGGGGGGGGGGGGGGGGTGCAGAAGGTACTCCGTGAGGGCCATGGAGACGACGTCGACATGGTCCTCATCCTCGTCTGAGTCTGCTCCGACCTGGCCACCATCTCATCGTGCTCCGCCCTGGCCTTTGCCACGCCATGCTCCACCCTGGCCTTTGCCACGCCATGCTCCACCCTGGCCTTTGCCACGCCATGCTCCACCCTGGCCTTTGCCACGCCATGCTCCACCCTGGCCTTCGCCTCGTCCTGCTCCGCCCTGGCCTTCGCCTCATCCTGCTCCGCCCTGGCCGCCGTCACGTCCTGCTCCGCCCTGGAGGCTTCCTGTTCCGGGCAAGCCACGCCCTCGTCAGCCTCCAGGGCGCCCACCCTCCCGCCCCTATTTGATGTTTATTCGGCGCGGGGACACGCCTTATGGAAGGGGGGGATAATGTTATAGTTATGTCTGTTCTGTATCTGTTTCCCTGAGTTTTCCCCGTCATTGCGTATTTGGTTCAGTCCTGTTCCCAGTTTTCCCGCTCCTTGTTAGTGTTCAGTTTATTCACCTGTGTTCTGATTTGCCCCAGCTGTGTCTTGTTCCCTCATCCCGTCTGTGTATTTAATCCTGTCTGCTCTTTTGTTCTTGGTCAGTTATTGAATGTATGTGATTGCCTGTATGTGTACGCTCCTCGAGTTTCTCTGAGATCTAAGTTACCCTAGTCTGTGATTATTAAAGTCTACTGCTGCATCTAGATCCGACTTCCGCCTTTGCTTCCACGCAAATCGTAACAGATAGAGATGCCGAATGAAAGATAAGACAGACAGAACAAACGATGGATGGATGGATTTCGATGCCAAAATTTCGATCAATCCATCCATTGTTCTTTCTGTCGATGGACTGAATTTGAAAGCTATCCTTGATAGACAGACGGACAAAAAGAAAGATGAATGGATTTTAAATTAAGAAGTTCCACCCATTCATAAATCCATCGATCATTCTATCTATCTATCTGTATGTATGGATGAATTTCAAATTCAGAATTTCCATCCATCCATCCATCGTTCTTTCGATTTCAAATTCTGAATTTTCATTCATCTATCCATACATCCATCCATCCATCCATCCATACATCCATCCATCTTTTGATTTCAAATTCAAAATTTTCCCTCCATCCATTGTTCTTTCGTTTTATTTATCTGTAAGTCTGTGGATGGATGAACGGATGGACATTCTGAATTCTGAACAATTTTGCATTCTAAAACAAGACTGACAACTGCATTTTGCCGCTGTGTGAACGCAGCCAAAGATAACTCGCTTAGATAACTGGACTGGGGCGTCCTTCTGGAAGGAGATTTTCTGTAAGAGAAGAATATGTTTAAATAATCTGACAGAGGATATGTCAGATGTTGAAAACGCTGTCACAACAAACCTGCTATGATAACAGGGAGTTATCTACACAAACCAGAGCAGTGGGGATTTGATCAAATGCTCCAGCACTTAAAAGCAGGAGAAAGTCTCCTGCAGTCACTTCCCATGACAAGAGGGGTTTTGTCTCAACTCAAAGGAAAAGTTTGCAGCACTGTTTCAAGACAACTAAAGATACTCTAAAAGGAAGCAAACTGGAAATCAATTTCCAGTGTGATGTTGAGAGATGTCAAACGCCTCAAGGCAAGTATGACTAAGACACATCAGCGGCACTAGAGTGCTGTCACAGATCCTGCAAGTTGCGCATTTCAACAGCTCTCCGGTCTGTTTCCCCTCAGTTCTGTTCAATAAAGTACCAAAGAGGAAGAGGGAGAGGAACAGAGAAACACAAGAACTCAATTGCAGGTCAATGATATTGATGCCTCAGATGATGCATTTAGTGATCGATGGAGAACCCTAAGGACACCTTTTTCCCTGCCTTTTAATATTTTATGTTCATTTTACTTTAAATTTATGAGGAAGGGAATAAAGACATGATAGTGCTTAGCCTTTTTCTTCTCCGTAACTAAGAGGCCCAGCAAGAGTGACTGAGTTTTCCAGCACATTGACAGTGGAACTGTGCAGTTCTCTGTGGACCATGGACAAAGAGTCTCTGTACCCACCTCTGCTCTCTCCGTCTCTTTCCCTCATTTTCTCCCTTTGTCTCATTGAGAAAACAGGCACATTTCAACTCTGCCATTTTACACATCCATTATTAATTAGCTGTCAAGGAATTTTTCTTGCCAGAAAATCTACACTTTGGCAAAACACAGGACTGAAAAATTTCTGCGTAATCCCCGCAGGACGTTTATCACGTCTGGGCACCGGGCCTACAATTTCAGAAGCACATTTTTCAACTGGACTCTTTATAGACAAGCGTACGACTTTAGCTGAACACCAGCCGGGAAGCAGAGTATCTCTCATTACTGAATTATGCTATAGTTCGCATTTTAAACGTGGAAGTGATTACAAAAGATGGCGAGCACAATCATGATTGTGATACCATTCATCATGAATCAAGTTCAAGCACTGTGGTTCTGTTTAACTAACTAAGACTGAACCAAAACAAAAAAGATATGGAATGGATCGTTTGGACTCTATACTGTCATATTATTGCTTGTTGGTTTTAGGCACTCTGTTTCACATTGTGCCTAAGAAGTTAAACCTCACCAAACCTGACAAAAACATTTATGGAGCTTATCACAACCTAAAAAAGAAACAAATAATACATATTTTGCCTAAAGAAAATACAGCCTATTTTTGTGACCATTTTGACATTTTTCATGACAATTTCCACATAAATTCTCATTACCGTAATGCAAAAAAAATCTCATAGAATATAATATGAATTTTTAATTAAAAAAGTTACATATTAATTATATACAACATTTATAGTTTAATTTAAAAAAATTTCATGGTAGTGTTAGTACTTTAATGTGGTTAAGCTTCATGGAAATGTCAAAATGCAGGAATCTCTTTTTATGCGAAACAATTTCTTATTTTCATCTTTTGATTTTGGTGTGAAATGTGACCTGGACTTGATATTGTGAGATTCTAAAAAGACCTCTTATCCCTAGTAAAATCACTATAATGCCATCTCTTGTGGCTCACTGCTTTAATGAACCTGCGGTTTAGCTCTCAGCAGGGATTCATCAACACGGCATGATTAGCAGACGATCAGATTTTGGACCTAGTTAATTTCAGGCTGGACTGGACTGAACTTACTTGATCCTCTGGATCCAGATGCAGTAGTCCGTGATGTAGAGGTCATTGAGGATATAGGCTGGATCGTTCTCCCGGAAGATCTTATGGATGGCTAGCAGACATTTCAAGATGCAGGCCTTCCCTGTGACAAAGAAAACATGCACTGAATCAGCCTAAACACAGAAGTTTGCATTTATTAGTGAGGTTTATGCTTAAACCAGTGGGGAAACAAAAACTTCACTGAATCTATATTCTATGAAAATAGTTTGCCATTATTTTTTATAACAGTAAATTCATCTTAATTTTTAAGAATACTTAAATACTACTATTGGTATGTTTACTATTTCCACTACAACTTTGTTACTATTACTATGATTATCTTAGATTGCCTCTATCTAGATCTATATCACTAAAATATCTCATTACTTACCAGTGTACCTGCATACACCATTATATCAACATCTATATTTAGCTGTTTTCCATCTCTTTGTTTTGGTTTGGTTTTTGTTTTGTTGACCTCTTGTTTTTGTTTCTCACTTTTCTGTATGTGTGTCATTGCTTTCTTACCTTGTAAAAAAAAAAAATACTTGGATTTTTTTTAAGCAGTAAAGACAGTGGAGTTAGTAATTAACACTGCAACTTTTTTTGGAGCAAAAAAGGGAAATCTGTGCTAAGCAGATGCTTTTTGAGATGATTGTATTTTCCATTCTGGCAGATGCTTCCACAAAACACACCCACATACACACAAACACCTTAAGGGCACCATGCCGCAGCAATGATATTTGTTGTCATAACACCCGTCTCCCAAATAAGGTGCAAAAATATCCCCTCAGCGCAATGCAACGGGCTCAGTTGTGAAGCCAAAGCAGGACCCCGAGGATTCTCGAGCTGCCCACAGAATAGCCTGGCAGCCGGTGGAGACATTCCAGCCGCCTCAAAAAACAAACAGTGCACTCGCACCGAGGAAAGCCTTACACAAACATTTGGTTCCCATTTAAGCTGGAGCTCTAACCCAGAGCAGCCGCCGTGGCTTCCAGCTTCAGGACATGCAAGAAAAACTCCAGGAACTTGAACCGTACTCTGCCTTTCTCCATTCTTCCTCCCTCTCTCGCTGTCTCTGACTTTCATCCATCTATAATTGAAGGGTTTTCTACTTTTCTTCACTGCTCCCTGGGAGAGTGGAGGAAAAGAAAGCTTTTGGATTCTTCCGAAGACCAGCTGTGGGTTTGAGCAAGGTTTAGATTGCATGTTGAGCCAGTTAATCATGTGCTGCAATCAGGCGTCTCAGGGGAAGAAGTTGAGGAGAGGAGAAGAGAAGAGAGAAGAGGAAGAGGAGGAATGGGGTGACAAGGTGAGATTTGGGCTCTGGAAGTACAGATGGTAAAGGTCCACAATCTCACAAAGCCTGCCCAAAAATATGCCTAGGTCATATTTCATCCAAAAATTCAAAAGAAAGTAAATAATAAAAAATTTGCATTAAGAAAATAAAACCCATTATCAGTCTTTCACTAGCTATCATCTTGATTTGTGACACCAAAGTCACTGGTAAAACTTCTACTGTAATATAATGATATATTTGTGATTTTACATGTTACTTGCAAAACATATGTCATCAGTACACAGCTACTTTTGAGGGGAGAAAGATGTCTGTGCTTAATTGTCATGAGAATACTGTAAAATGCCTAACAAAATAAAAAGGTCCATCAAACAGGCTTAATATTTTTCTTTGATTTTGGTGTGAAATATGACCTGGATATGTTGACAAACTTGGTAAGATTCAGCCTTAAACCGCCAATTTATTAATCATACAAAGGGTGACACTGACTGCGAGTGAACAAAGGAGCTATACACGTGAAACAGCTGCAAAAATCACGTTAAAGAACATTGACATCAAATTATGCCGCATCAAATGGCCTACATCTATCATCGTGAATACGGCAATGTACTTTTTAAGATTGATCACGTTGGCTTAAAGATGACAATTCCTGCCGAGGAAAACAATGAATCTCAATAAGCTACGACAGAACTTAGCAAAAAAGAAAAAGAAAAAAAAAGTCAAGCACTGAATGACGTAAAAGGGCTTTTAAAATGCCATGAAAATGAACCTGCTTCCAAACCAAAAGATAAAACTATGTATACGACCCATTTGAAAGTAAAATTAATCAAAAGTTACAGTAAAGTCTTTCTATTTCAACTAAATACTGTTCTTTTGAAGTTTATCCTCAAATTCAAACAAATATATATCATTGTTTCCACAAAAACAGTTTCCAACTTTGATAATTAGAAATGTTTCTTGAGCAGCAAATCAGCATATTAGCATATAATTCAGCTTTGCCATCACAGAAATAAATAACATTTTAAAATGTATACAAATAGAAAACATTTAAACCTGGAATTAAGCCTGGTACATATAAGGGGTATTTAACATGGTGCTATGGAGGTAACAATGGCAAAAAGTTGGGAAACACTGTGCTAACTGATAAAGCCCATACCAGTGCAGAGCAAAACAAGTGGAAACTGAATCCAAGCTATGCAGTTAAATGAAATACAGGCATGCCCCTGAACGTTTAGATTATATACGAGTGTTTATATTTGCCCACAGTGCATCTTTTAGGCCGTTATCCATAGTCTCCCTCCTCAATCTCCTTGAGGGCCGCTGACTTTAGCAGGATCTCTCGGAGAACAACCAGACAAGCTGCCAGAGGGCTGTTCAAATATTTACCCCTGGATAGCATTTCCATCACGGCTTTCCTCATGCAGGATCATTAATGGGTTTGTTTTCCTACTACCTACAACTGTTTGCTTTCACTGCTGGTTAAACGAAGTGCCTCAAATTAGAGTACACACACATCAGATACACACCTCCATTCATGTTCCGCCGACAAATTAATTACCCAGGAGTCATGGTGTCACAGGATAGCCTGCTTTCCGAGGGGAGTCACACCGCTGTTACCGTTCATTAAAGGGGAGCCTTATTGCTTGTGAGGCTTTGATGGTTGTAAATCTACAACTTGTAAACTGGAGTGAAATGTCACAGATTCTGAGTGAAACCCAGCGGTGTGTTTAGAAATCTGTACCTTGAGGAAAAGAGTAAGAGAACCAGTTTAAACTTCAGAGAACAGATGGATATGATACTATCCTGTAAAATTTTAAAACCTCTAAGGGCAGACAGCTAAACTAAAAATACAATTTCAACCCAATTACAGAACGTTCAACACTCATTTGCTGATGTCCTGAGATTAAATCAATGAGTCTGTACTGTTGGTTACTAGCAGGTGTTCCTACATACTTGATATGGCAGATCACAGCGATGCTCTCCCATTGGTTATTGCTGCTCATTTGCATACAGTTGAAATCAGCTTAACATTAAAGTTAGGCAATGTTTTTCATAAACACTTGTTATACTGGTTGAAACTCTCTTCACATCCTGATAGCAATCATAATAGAGGTGGTCTAAATATATACATGGGCGTCGGAACCATTGTATATGGGTGGGACAAGACCCACCCACTTTTTAAGACCAATGATATTGGACCCACTCACCTTTACTGTCTCTAATTCAGCGCATATGTCTGCTCACTTTTCAGTCACTTGCAGCGATCGAATTGATTACTATTCCCATCTTAATAACGCCGTTACCGTTACCGCCAAAAAATGTGTTACTATACTATATTTGATAGGGCTGTGCAACGATACACCAAACCCACGATTCGGTTCGTATCACGATTTTTGACGCACAATTCGATACAAACCTTGATTCTTTTGGGGGTGTGGTGACGCGGTGTGACACATTCATGTAACATGTAAGGGTGGCGCTGCCAATAAAGCACCTAAAAGCTGTCACAAAGAACCAGCAAAAGTAATGATTATGAATATATGTCAAATATAGCAAAGAGACAATTTAATTGTTTATTAATAAACAAGTGTTTTTGTGTGTGTCGGCTGCAAAGATGAAGTTGATGATGCTGACTGCGATCTTTGCAGTAGTGAACGCGCCAAAGAGAAATGCACATTTCATACGCATTACATAAGCAGAGAGCAGCTGTTTTCTTTCGTTTTGAATTGTTCTGTTTAAAAGCTTTCTATATATATATTAGTGTTGCACGGTGCACCGATACTTCAAAAGTATCGCGATTCTCGGAAATTAAAAACGTCACGATACCTAAATTTATTAGTATCGATACTTCTAAGAATGACCGCGTTCCAGATTTGTAAGAGACGTATTTTTGTCCCGCCAAAGCCTTATTTGACCGGTGAGTGATGTAGATGAGTGACTGCTGCGCTTGTTTAACTGAGAGAACGAGCAGAGAGAGTGAGAGCCCCGGTCGCGCGCGCGCACTCTCACCGTCTTCAAAACTGCCTCGCTCTTTGTCCCTCCCTCGCGCATATTAATGAATTGAGTTGACTGAATATCGTTGAGAATATACACGATGGTTAAAGGTCGGAAGACCGAAGGTTTTTTTTTTCTAAACTACCACTGGTTGTGAATTGTGCTAAAAATAATTGCCTTATCTTCTCTAGAAAGCGTTCCACACATTCAGATGACATATACCACACTTTCAATAAACAAACAAAAAAATCTATCCAGTGATGAAATGTTTTGTGTGTTGAGACAAATCTTGTGCGATGTCCTAAACTGCCTGGATAATCACACAACGTGTGCCGTGGTCCGTTAATGACACGTCCGATTCGCGAACTAATGACTCCTTTGAACCGATTCACTTTAATGAATGGTTAAAACAACTGATCTGTCCAACACTGAACTCAAGAGACATAACAAATCGGAAACACTTTATAAATAGGTTCCATTTATTAAAGTCTAGTTAACTACATTAGTTAACATTCTATTAATATTACTTTCTATGTGGGTTTACTCCATGACAGAACACCCCAGTCATTCTAGAATGATTCATTCTTTCCAAATAGAGCTATTCAAGTCATCTGGTGAAATTGTTTTTATATCGCAATATATATTGCAGAAAAATAAAATATCGCAATGTCATTTTTTACCAATATCGTGCAGCCCTACCTTGAATGTCATTGCTCTAATTTATTTTTTATATTTTGATATTTCATATTTTGTTCAAATGTTTAATATAGCCTATCTGCTGTTTATATGTTCATTTATTAGTGTGTTATATG